ACATTTTATATTTATACCATAAATATATAACAAGCACTTTGTACCAGCGTGTTACGCATCACCATTCAATTTCTTCTAATTCCTCTGTTATTATTTTTGAAGTAATAAAATACTCTTCTAAGTGGTTTATTGGTCCTTGTCAAAAGTATGGTTCTTAATGTGACCTTTGGCCAAAAAATCAAATCCTAGTAGCCATGAAGACTCCATTCCTACCAATATCTACAACAAGACTGACTTTCTAAAGCAGCAATACGTAGTTGAATATTTATCAACTTTTCTGCCATCTGTAGTTTCCTTCGTTTCGTATAACAATAAACAAACAGACGCCTGGTTTTTGATAAATTTGGGTCGGCTGCTTGAATCTTTTCCACCTCTTCACTTTGTTCGTTTCTAAATGACTAAATCTACTAGAAGTTCCAAAGCAACTACAACAAGCCATATAATTTTTGGCCAACCTTTCCTTCTACCCCATTCAACAAAGATTGTGTTACTTTGATGAACAAGAAACTCTTTAGGTCTACACAAAACATGTCTCTGCCAGCTTTGTAGTTATTCCAATTTCTGCCCCTCTGGTAAAGCTCAAATTTGCTAGTTGCTCGAATTGCAAACTCAATTTCACGCTACTACATTGTTAGTAAGTACTTCATTTCCCCCTGCATCACTATTTTTTTTCTTTTATTTGCTAATCACTATTGATAATAGCTAATATTTAAATGAAATTATTGAATTGTTGTTGTCTTGCTGGCTTTTTTATGTATCAGTGTAATACTAAATTTTATTAAATTGATTTCTATACCCTCTATACACAAAGACAATAATATGATACACCAAAAGATCAATTTTGAACATGTACAAACATATTCAAATGTATCGTCATGATTCTGATGCTTTCAGGATACAGTTTGCTGCAGAGACTAAGAACAATCTAATTAAACAATAAATTATATAAGCAGTGAACAATAATGAAAAAGTAAAACCCCAAATAGAGTTGACCTGATCAAGAGGCCAACGTTAATAAGAGTGGCACCATTTTGGTAGAGCAAGTTAGGAGAGGGAATGGTAGACCGTAGACCAAAATTACAATTGCCTGTAGTTGTTAAGGATGTTCTTCTTTGAGATCTTCGAGTAGATCTGGCAATGAAAAGATGGCTGTTGTTTTTATCTGTCATGTGTATATAATTATCATCTTGCAGGTGGAGCAAGCTGTGGGGGTATACCATGACGAGCAGTACAAAAGCCGAAGATGGGTTTTCCCTTCTCACCGCTTGACTCTCTCAGTCGTTTGGTCCCCGTTTCTCACAAAAGCAAGTGTATTTGAAGATAGCGATGGAGTTTCATCAGGCATAATCCAGCTTCATCTTGACGAGCTAGATGCGACATGGACAGATCAATATGAAAACTTTGATTACGTAGTAGTTGCGGGGGGGCAGTGGTTTCTCAAATCTGCAATTTACTACGAGAACGGCAAGATTGTGGGATGCCATAGTTGCCAAGGGAAGAATATAACACAAGTGGGATTTTATTATGCCTATCGCAAAGCATTAAACACAACGCTGAAATTCATCACGAGCTCAAAGCACAAGGCTTATACGTTCTTTAGAACGATGACTCCAGATCACTTCAAGAACGGGGAATGGAACACAGGTGGATACTGTAACAGGACGAGACCGTTTCAAGAAGGTGAGATCGACATCAATGATATAGATGGGATGATGAGAAAAATCGAACTGGAAGAATTTGAGAGGGCATCAACTATAGGAAAGGAAAAAGGTCTAACTTTGAAACTATTTGATACGACCTTAGTTTCTCTATTACGACCTGATGGTCATCCGGGAGTCTACAGGCAATTCCATCCATATCCCGGAAAAGATAAACATTTGAAGCTGCAAAATGACTGTCTACATTGGTGTTTACCTGGACCTATAGACTCTTGGAATGATTTGATGATGGAAATGCTTGTGAATGGTTGAAAATCACACTGTTTTCCCGTATGGAGATGTCATCTGTGCAGAAACATTTTTGTAGATCTTTTGTTGTAATGCCATATCCTTGCATGTAGTTTAAGGAATTGAAATTTTTAAGAAAGAGGCTGTTTGTAATATTTATTTATTTATTCAATGCTCTTGGTAATTAAGATTCAGTCCTGGGGGTTGGGTATTGAAAATCAGTTTTAGTGAAGACAAAAACATTCTGTGCTGGTTGTTAAATAATGCATGGTGCAAATTTTTTTTTCATTACTCGACTCATCCTCTCAATTCACTTTACAAGTTAATGTAAAGGTTGACAAGGGCGTGCTTGGTGTACATTATGGGCACCATAATGGTGTCCATAATGCCTCACTATTGGAGGGGCGCCTGGCCCACCCTGCACCTCTCCAATAGGGGGGCACCATGTGTGTATTATGGACACCATTATGGTGTCCATAATGTACACCAAGAATTATTCAGTTGACAATATCACCTAAACTAGGCTAAGCACCAACGATACAAAATAACATTACTCTTTGAGAAGTTTCAAAGTGTAGTGTATAAGTTACGTAATATTTATTAAATTGATAATTGTCGTGTCTAGATATTAGCCAAGAACCCTGTTAAACTTGTCAATAAAATGTGATGTTATGCTTTGATGTGCATATTTTGGGAATGGCTTATATTCAATAAATTTGGAAATTTACTAAAAGCTTGCTTGAGAAAGATTTTTCCAAGTGCAATATGAATTTTTTCCCAAGAATCTTTCGAGCCACAATTCCTTTTTCTCTAAATTTCTTGATTTTAACTATAAAAAATGAAACTTCAACCGTAAACAAGCCATAAAAGCTGATACAAACTTGTTACTCTCTTGTTTGAGTCTCATTCTTCTAAAAATTCATTTTTTCGAAACTTATTTTCAACAACACATTCTTCAATAAAATAATATTATACGTAAATTAAAAAGTTTTCTTAATTTTTAACCACACATTAATCCATCAATCTACTATTCAAAATGCATTCTTTCCCCCAAAATGAATCTCAAACAAGGTACTTTATTCTTTCTCTTGAAAGAAAGTTCATCAAGAGATTCTAAAAATTTTCTCTCATTTTGGACAGAAAATTTTCTGTAAGCATCTAATTTTTTAATTTCTATTACCTTATTTATTTCTTTATTTAACGATGGAATTCTGTCATTGAATTAAATCAAGAAATTTTCTCTTTTCTTTAATTGTCATCGACGAAATTTTTATTCTATTAATCCTAAACTATTATTTTATTTTTATTATGTTAACTATAGACTTGTAAACTAAAACATATATTATTTTATTTGTTAATAGAATTTTTATAACACCCTTAAATCTAGATATCTAGATTTGGAAGTATTATCATTTCATTTTATCTTAAAATCATGAGTATGGAAGCCATTAAATTTTTCTTTAATAAAATGAATATCATTGACTTCATTTATAAATATAACTTGTAAAAAAACTTTTTGCAATTAAATGAAAAAATTAAATTAAATGTCAACTTTAATTTTTAAAAGAAGTCGATACTTAAATGTGTTAGTAATGGGTCCATCGCACTTCAAGTAGTTATCTTGAATTATTTTGCTTTCATCATTTGAAAATAGAGAGGAATAACGTGGGATGAGATAACGCTCAGTAAGCAAATCTCATGCATATGATACATGCTAATGATATGTATATGAATTACTTTAAAATTAAAATATCTCAATATCTTTCCCCCTTTTCATTCATCTCTTTAGAAACTTTAACATTGATATCGTGAACTCACTTGATGTATCGTCTAATCAATCAAAATGTAGTAGACAATTATTATTTGGAGCTTGATTGAGTTCTATCGGTGGTACCGCAAAGCGGTTAATATTAACCTTATCATTGAACATTTATTGGATGCGCTGATCCCCCATACCCTATTTCTCATTCACACATATCATGACATAGACATACATCTCGTAATAAAAATAGTTGAGATACATATCTTTAAAAACATTCTTTGACCTATTGACATTTGAAAACTTTTATTTCTTGAAACTTCATGTATTTTTATTGATGCATTGACATGTATAAATATATAATGAGAAATATTAATGACATGAAACATAATAACCAAATATCGTGTTAACATAATGGCAAATAAACCATATGACATACGCATGAAAACGGGTGAAGATTTATTTGTTGGGAATCTACTTAACATGCACAGCGAAAAATTAAAACAGATTTCGATTCCCACCAAGAATCGTCTTTGTGTTCAGATAGAAATTGTGATAAGATTGTACCTTTTCCAGATCTGCAAACTTCTTTGCTATTCTTTTCGTTCCAACAATCTTGATTCACCACCCACAGCTGTTCAATTGTCCAGCCTCCAATGGCGATCCACACAGAGAACAAGATTGCAGCTACCAAGGTTTTCTCCTCTTGTACTAGCAAGAATAATTATGAGAAAAACTATATGTATTGAAGACCCTAGCCATGTATTTATATAAACCCAAACTGGTCTGGTCTGGTCCGATTCAGTCAAATATTTAATTAATCCATTTAATTAAATTCGGTCCGTGAATTAATTAATCCAATTAATTAATTCGGGCATATAAATAACCAACCCAATTAATTAATTTATCCAACAATTGTTAAATTAATTAATTGACAAATTGCAATCTTCCAATTCTCCTTTGTGTGCGACCCTTCAGGTTCTCGATCACGATGCCTAACGACATGAAATATTATTTTGATCTAATTAAAATTGATAAATTAAAACACCATTTTAATTTATCACCAATTCACACTCGCCGTCCCAGATTGACATTTAGTAATGTATCAGAACAATATATGTACGGAAAATGTCACGTGGTATGACAAAACCAAACTCATTCATTTACCATGAAACTATAATCTCTTCGTCAATATGATCCAATCAATTACGAGATATGGAAGTGTGTCAATCTCGATTATCGATCATATCTTTCACTCCACTATTAAGTCAATATAAGTCGAAAACTCTTTTTTGACTTATGAGTACACCTTGGCCAAGGATTTCATTATCGACTTAATTGAATGAAACGCAGATCATAATCTCCTACTATCTAAGAGTGACGAATCATTTATTGGTCAATCACAACCTTCATACGATTCTTGACGTACCCGAACGATGTCGTATTAGCGGCCCTTTGCAGAGCAACATCCAACACCGCCAAAGTATGACTGTCCTCATATAAGGTACCATGACGACCTCAAGTCAAAGGACCAATTCCACTACCGAACGTTAGAGATTAACCACTGACACTCAGATAGTTATCCATGTGGAATCTCTTTGTGGGTTTTCAATGTTTTGTTCGATAACAAAACATCCACGTGTTCATTTAAGTGTCACCACACTTTAGTTTGTGAGATCAGCTACTTACTTCACAAGCAAGAAATGCCACACTTGATGGTCTATCCGTAATAACGATATCCATATCTCATTATTACTTACGACCACGAACGATTTAAGATTTAATCATATATAATTTGTATCTCACAATCATAACTTCTTGTGATTAACGAATAGCGAAGATTTGAATCTACGAACTCTATTATTTATTTAATTGTCTATTAATTAAATAATAGATTTGTCATTAAATTGTATTAATTATATATCAAAAGTATTTAGGTCCAAGGTTGATTAGACCTGGGGCATAACACTTACAAACTCTCACTTGCACTAGATCTAATTACTTATGTATCCAATATCGTAAGAGTCTACATGACGATCATGTTTATGCTACGACAACTCTTTGTTAGTGGATCTGCAATATTGTTAAATGTGAAAATTTGTTCTTCTCTTTACGTCATTTCTATGTATTATATCTTTGATGAGATTATACCGCCTTAATACATGTTTGGATCATTAATGAGACCTTAGTTCCTTCGCTTTCACGATAACTCTATTGTTATCACAATACAATTGCACGTGATCAATAATATCAAGAACTACTCCAAGTATGAACACCATGATCCATAGTGCAACTCTTTGCTACTTCTGAAGTAATCATGTATTAGGTTTCTACTATTGAATCAACGGTTGCTTCACGTTTGGAACCTTTCCAACATTCCACTTAAGAGTAAACCAGTTTCTCCATATGAAATCTTCTTAAGATTTCATCCGTGTAAATTGGGATGAATTAGACAATTTTCTAGATAGCTCTATAGATAAAATTGCTTCTCTCATATCGTTCATGAATAAATCCTTTGACAACCTTTATTTCAACGATTGAAATATAGGGATGTTGTTTCCTATAATATTATGAATACGACAATGCTCCCACTATCTTCTTGTAAACACACAATTCGTCTTCAAATTTGATAAAATCAAACACTTTGACTTTTTCATCAAATTGAATATTTCAGCTCCAAGAGACTTCTCTTAACCTATAGTCATGGTATGCAACTGTTGCAAGCAAACCCCGAATGGACTTCAGCAAGGTAACAGGAGAAAAGTTTTACCAAGGTCAACACTTAACCTTTGCTACTAGCCTTACTTTGTATATATGGATATTCCCATCCATATCGCCCTTTTCCTTGTAAACTATTTACAAAAACTTATGGGTTTTATTCCATTAGGAAGCTCGACCAAGGTCCAAACCTCACATACGTTGAGTTCATCTCGAGTATCATGGCCTCTTGTTGTCTCTTTTAAGTCAACACTTGACTTTATTTTGGTGCAACTAGCATGTTCATTATCCTGGATCAGTAATACCTGATTAGTAATCATGGATTTGTACCTTTTTGAAGGTCGAATGATCCTACTAGATTCACATAGAGCTGACATGTCTTAGGAGTCATTACTTTCTGATCAAGAGTATGTCCCATATTGGATATGGGATCAAACTCGGATTTATCTACTTGGTTAACTATATTTGTGGACTCTTGAACTCTTTCATGTTCTATTTTGCTCTCACTGTCCTTCCCTAGAGTAAATATTTTCTTTAAAAAGACGATATGTCGTGAGATGAAGACTTTCTTCACAATAATAGAATTTATATTAAAAAATCTGCTTTGAATATCCTACAAATATGTATTTATCGGTTTTAGTCTCAAACTTATCCGATTTAAGGCGCTTCAAATAAGCGTTATGACCCAAAACTTTCATATGAAACAAATTGGGATTATTGCCTTAACTTGTATGTAGTTCTGTTAACCAACTTAG